GCGTGGTCTCTGCACTTTGCCCTATACATCTGGCGAAGCGTCAGGTCCATTCGTTTGCATCAGGCCGAGAAGCTGCAACGGAGTAATCGGCCCGGAATTCTACACCGAAACAAGTGAGCTTGCATATCGACACTCCGCAACAAACTGATCCGGAAGTGGATCCGCCAACTCCTCGACCAACCAATGCGACTGGTAATCCAGAAACCTCGGGAAACTGCGCTTTCGAGACTGTTTGTGCCCAGGTCTATGCGCCCGGCTTGGAATCAGTTTAGGGTTGAGGGATCTTGCGCAAGCTGCAATACTGAATTTCAGTAGAGGAGATTCATCTGCGAGCGGCGTCATAAAAGTTGCTTGTCCGTGAAGGATGACACACGAAAGAACATGTTAGACTTCCACTAGTTGATGGCACCTCCTGTCGTCGCAGGCCTGCTCGAACAACCAGTGTACCTGGCCTGTGTCGTGCCTCAATATGTGCAACATCAGCAACACGGAGATGTTCCAAGGAGTTTGAGACCACGACTGCAAGTGACACCTGTACCAAACTCGACAAGCGGAAACGCGAAATGACAAAATAATTTGAGCCCATTGGTCAAATCGCGAGAGTTGGAACTTCAAAGCTGAAAATGTCTGAGCCACATTTGGCTGTGAACCGCAAGAGCATGCCTTGCTTGACTTTTGTCGATTGTCGCCTATCCGCTGCCGGAATGCAAGTCCGACATCATGACGATGACGACGACGCTGCAACTGCTGCTGCTTCTGCTGCTGCTCTCCGCTGCTCCTGCTACTTCTACTACCGCTCCAACCACCCTGAACGCTCCTACTCCTGCTCTGGGGTGGTGGTGGTGGTGGTGGTCGTGGTGGTGGTGGTGGTGGTGGTGGTGGGTGGTGGGTGGTGGGTGGTGGGTGGTGGTGGGTGGTGGTGGGTGGTGGTGGGTGGTGGTGGTGGTGGTGGTGGTGGGTGGTGGTGGGTGTGTGGTGGTGGGTGGTGGTGGGTGGTGGTGGGTGGTGGGTGGTGGTGGGTGGTGGTGGGTGGTGGTGGGTGGGTGGTGGGTGATGGGTGGTGGGTGGTGGGTGGTGGGTTGCGGCGGCGGCGGCAGCGGCGGCGGCGGCGGTGGCGGTGGCGGTGGCGGTGGTGGCGCGTGCTGGTGCTGGCAGTGGCGGTGGCGCTGGTGCTTAGCCGCTGCTGCTGCTGCTGGGAGGAGGAGGAGGAGGAGGAGGAGGTGGTGATGGTGGTGGTGGTGGTGGGGGTGGTGGTGGCGGTGGCGCTGGTGCTGGGGCTGGTGCTGGCAGTGGCGGTGGCGCTGGTGCTGAGCCGCTGCTGCTGCTGCTGGGAGGAGGTGGCGGTGGGGGTGGTGGGGACGGCAGTGGAGCCTCTTTTTTGCTGCGAACTTGTTGGCGGTAGTACTTGTAGCAAGTGCAAAAGGTCATTGCAAGGGCTTTGTGGCGAGAGCCATGTATGCTTGGGTGATGCTGGAAGTGATGGTGGACCTGACATTCCTGCCACTGTGTTGGCTCTATTCTAGATCATCGAAGAGAAATTTCAGAAATCCGAAGTTCGAACATTTGGTCCTAGTTGCTCGTAGGTGCCGGCATCTGGCCAAATTCGCGCCTCAACGACGGCTTTGACCCTCCGCTCCAGGATTTTCCAGGGCAGGTCCAGGGCAAAGTTCACCAAGCCCAAGATCAATGGATGATGCCCCACGACCACGATGGCGGCTGGCCTGGGGTCAGGAAAAGCTGGAAAAGCTTGAAGGGAGTCTATGTCTGGAGTGGCATGCCGCGCGTTACGCACCTTGTAACCGTGGCTGTACGACTGCTAGGGAAGGGGTCTGCAAGGCCAGGCGAAGAGAATTTCCCTTGAAGACTTTTTACTCCGCGTTCAAACGCAAAGTTGCTACCCACTGTCAGGAGGCAGCAAGCGAAGAACCTGATGCCCTTTGTGGCTGGGTGCAAGGGGATCCATGATATCGCGTCCGGTGTGCCGAAGCTGGCAGTACCTAACCACGTACGGTTCCGAAGTGCGCATGATTGCGTGTATGTGTGCGCAGGGGGATGAATCTCCAGCCTGCTGCATGTAAGGCAAGCGGGGCTGGTGATCTGAGTGGGATGTGTTCGCGGAGGAACCGTTTCATGCATCAAAGGACGCGAGGTCATGCAGGATAGATCGTTTTGTGGCACTTGTGATTCGTCGCCGATCTTTATCCTTAGCTGGAAATGCAGGCGAAGGGCCTGTAGGCTGCATCCACCGCCATGTAGGCACAGCCGCAGCCCAGGCAACAGGCCACGACCAAGAACACGCCACCCTGAACAACGCGTCTGATCCTGCATGGCCAGCAGGACAAACCCAGCAGCAGCTTCAGCAACTGCATCGGCCAGTCCCAACTGAGGAGCTCAAAGATGAAGGCAACTCCCAGTTGCGCTACAAAGGGAGATGTTGCCAAGCCTAGGTTGTCAGAAGACCAGCAAGACCAAGAGAAGCTTCCTATCTCGCGACAACGCAACCTCAAAATGGAAATGCTGCGCTACTGCTACCGAAGGAAGGCTGGGACACTGTCGCGCAAGAAGATCCGGTCCTTCGTGGCCCCTGTGGGGTAGAACATCTGTGCATACATGCCTGTTGCAAGTCCTGCTCCGAGGTCCGCCGCCCAAAAACTGATAAGCATCACCCAGAATTGCAGTGTGGGGTGCCGCCGGCAGCAGAAGAAGACCACCATGCATGCCAGAAAGAAGATCGGGATGCCAAAAAGTAAGAGCTGTCCAAAGGGAGACGGCTTGTCATCGGGGCAGAAGGAGCCGTCGGCGGACGATAGATGTCCAGCCAGACACTGGGTCATGGCGGATGCGTTTAGATCCACCTCCCACTTCTTGGAGGTTCAGGGGTAGGTAGTTATAAGTATAGGCAGTATAGGGGTATAAGTCCCCTAATATGGGTTATAAGCATAATTACCGTAATTATCCTACCCATAACCCTACTTATCACTACCCATGAACCTCCAAGTTGCCCTAGTTTAGGCCGGCAGTTCGGTAAGCGCGTGAAGCCCTTTCAAGCCTCATTAAGACGTAATAAACCCACAACGCCGAAACCCTACGACGCACTCATTGCATGAAGCTTTAGCAGGTCTCTTGTTTTTGGGGAGTCGTCGTCTCAGACAGAAACCATCGGACAACTTGCCAAGACCGTCCCAAGCCGCGACCGTGAGCAGGTCTGTCGGATCATCCCAGTTATACCTGGGCTTTGAAGTGCACCACTACCAGAAGCTCTAAGCCCTTGGAACATAAATCCCCTAAACCACCAAAAAATGAACTCCAAGAGCTCCCTGCCGTACAGCTTACAAGAAATAATTCAGATCGCCGAGGCCCTACCCTCAACCCACCCTTACACCCAAATGGCTTTGAAGCCTTCAAGCCTAAACCATTGAATCCTGAACCCACGCCCTCTACAGCCGATCCGTAACCCTATACACCTTAGGCCAAGGTGCTCGAGGCCAATGACGAAGTCCGTTGTCGAATTTTCACAGGATCCCGTGATTTCCAGGCACTGGCCTTGGGCTGCCAGCTTCTTCAAAAAATGCTATTTGCTGTGTTCCTTTGGATACATACAGCACTACTTCGATGTTCAACAACTGTTGCTCTTAAGGGGTCTTCATGGCTTGTAAAGCTTAAGTATTTGAAGCGATTTTCGGGTTATGCTCTAAGGCCACAGAGTTTTAGCGGTTTTAGCGCTTTAGGGGCTTCAGTCTTTAAGCCCGCGGGCTTCAAGTCATACATGTTTGGCACCCAGTGGCCACCCTTCAGCTGCTATGCCCTGACAAGGGCCCAGTCTTCGGCCCGTGACCCACATCCCTGTACAAATCGAACCAGCGATCGGCTGATGAGGCATGCAAGTGCAAGCTCTGATTTCCGATAACAGGTGACTGGCAATGGCACTCGTGCCCCCGTTTGACACTACGAGCCGATACCTGTCCAACGCAACCGCGATCGGTTGCATGCGCCGTTCACAAACGCGGAAAGCAGAGATTTGGAGACCTGCTGCAAGATTCCAGCACTGGAAACATGGTTTGGCAGCCCTCAGCTGACTTGGCCAAAGCCAGTCCAGTCTATGTATCGCTTGAAGCGACGCTGTCCTGATTACGAAGATCGTCGAAACGGGCCCCGTTTGGTAAGCTCCTGTGTTTCGGTATCAAGCCGAATCAGACCTCCTACGGCGCGAAGACTATCGGCTTTCAATCTTGCCAAGGTCACCCCAGAAGAGAAACCTCGCCGCGGTGGAGGTCACCAGTCCACACCATACAGCCACAGCAAGCCAGGCCATGCCGGATGGAGATCACTTTCTTTACGTTTGTTGTCGTGCTGAACACCAAAAGGCTCGGTCCGTTAAGCTAAGGGGCCCCAGGTCGTTAGAGTGAGAGAACGTGTTGCTTGGCATTAAATATCATTAAATCACATCGGATGAGCTGTTGTTGTCCCTGGAGTCCTGGATGTTTCAGGATTTGCGAGTGGCAATCGCACTCTTGGCTGGTGCAAGCCGGGCAGAGCTTTGCCACCCAGCAACCTCCTTGAGAGAAGACAGGCTTTCCACGTTGACGAGATGTTGGCGTTCCGAGGTCCCTGAACCTTGGTGAGGTTTCGAGCCAGGCTGAACCGTCGACCCTAAGTCGGTCCACCAAACGGACAAAGCGATCCCTCTTCCCCTCGCCTTGAGTCCGGCACGATTGGATACTGGGAGAATACAAACGGTAATAATTCAAGCCTTCTTCCGTAGTTAAGCTGTTTCAAGCAAGCGAACTCAACCCATGGATGTTGGAGAAGTAGGTTGTCTGGCCTCAATGGTTTGGAATTTGGGCATCCAGTAATTAAGTGGAAACCGGCTGCCCATCTTATCCAAGCCCTCGACTATGAGCCGGAAGCACCAACGACAAATCTTAGAGTGATGGTCCTAAGCCATCGATCCCGGAGCCGAAGCATCAACATGTCACCCTAAACACCCCCAAAACCAGAAATCAAGCTTTCGGGATCCTTGGCCACTGTTGCGGATTCCTCTGCTTCACGGCCAGAGAGCTCAGGAGAGAAGGCCGGGAGGCAAAGCACCTCGATCGTGTGACTTTTCGAAGGTTCTGATAAGCGCTGGTGGTCATACGGCTACGGATTGAAGGGTTTGGATTAATTTAGTTTGGCCAAACGCTTACGCAAAGCTTCTGCTGGATCTCACGGCATGTCTGTATAGTCCCTGAAAACGTCTCCCAGTTGCCGCCAGAAGCAGTTTTGTGCACAACAAGCTTCTCTCATCATTGAACTACTTTTATGGATTTTGGCACTCGCACTCGACCAAGTCAGGCGAGGGTCGGATTTTCGGAACAAGACACGTTGACGGCTGTACCCGCTAGATGGGTGGAACAACGCTGAATGCACAAATCACACTCGCGTGTGGTCATGTGACAGCTCCTAAACAATCTTTCCGGCGGTTCAACAACAGTGCACATTCGTATTGACTTCTTTCATATACCCATATGTACAAATATGTGATCATGTGCACGTGAAATAAAAAAATACAAGCCCCCCAAGGTAAAGCTTTGCAATCCCTACTTGTAAGATCCTTATGCAGGTTTCTCGGTACATGGGCATGGCGCATGTGCGTGAGTAGGCCTTTGGAAGAAAACAAAAGACCGTGCAGCACAAGAGGCAGTGTAGCGGGTAGCTTCCGGCCAAATCCACTTGACCTTCGGTGGTGTTGGGCCCTCGTGGTGTCGACTGGGCTGAGGGTTCTCATGCTTGAAGTTGAGGTTGAAGGACATACTTCGATTCTGATGCTTTGTCCAGCATTCGTATGATTCGGGCCAGAACCGGACACAGAACAAGAGCGTACTGTACTGTAGGCTCAGGGCATAGTGCACCGACGGCTCGACAACACCATCAGGACCAAATGAACCCTTAATCCGGAAGCCTCAGTAATACTACCCCACATCCCGACAGCTCGGAAACCGGCTCCATGCTGAGCACGGCTTTACTGCCCGAGAATGGCCCCGCTGAGCTGAATAAAAGACTCAAGCTTGACGGTCAGCGAGGACAATCTGCAGTTGCCAGATGCAGAAACCCACAGCCGGACAGACGGCCCTGGGGCATGTGCACGCAAGCCCTTTGGCAAAAAGATCGCCTCACCGGCCTGGTCGTGACAAGAAGCACTATAAGGCTTATATAGGAGATGTGGAACTTCGAGATCAGAGCTTCGGGCCATAAGGTTTAGAATGCGTGATGCGTGTTTTCAGCCAGCGGGATGTGCCGGGATCTTGTATTTCACAGCCCCTGAAGCTGTGACTCTAACGCTACAGTTGCCCAAAAAGCAAAAACTGTCACACAATTTTACGGTTTTACCACAGTCAAGTAATCCGAGCTCCAATAACATCGGCACACAACAAGCACACTCTGCTGATGTTGGACGATAATGTGTGCAGAGCCCAAGCTATGTTCGAACATGTGCGAACACATTACCGTACTTTTCTTGATAGTGTACTTATCAGTCCACGGAAACTGTCCGGCAATACAGTTTCCGAGGCTCTTCACCGGCCTGGATCTTGATCCGTTCGCCATCACCATGAAGGAATTCGATGGAGCCGGCATCGCAAACTACCTGGCTTCTTCCGATCCGAGGGTTTCCCGCAGATGAGGCTGCCGGACCACTCCCGAGACTCTTGCAGAAGATGCAGGGGGGGCTGTGAAATTGACATGTTGACTGAGATACCTCTGAAGTTGGAGTGGAGGCACCTGCACGCTTCTTGGAGAGGGTAGAAACGATAAGCCCCTTCCGACAAGCCCCATGTCAACGGCAGCTGCGCTTCGAAACCCCTTGTTGAGGACACAATGCTTGAACGTAAGCTGAAGCAGTCGCGGCGCGACGACCAGTATTTGATAGTAGCACAGCATCTGTGGATGGTATTTTGCAACGAAAGGGATATTGCTAAGCGTCTCTTTTTGTATCGGCCTTGTCCCTTAACTAACTAGTTCTCCGAAGCTCAACTTCGGCATTCATCCTCGTTGGAAGTGCCATGAAACTAAATATTGACCCATGTATGGGATCGAATTATTCGCGGGATCCTCGCATAAAGACTTTCCACACAGGGGATCCCGACTTTATGAGCCTTCCGCTACTCCAGCGTGAAGTCTGTAGCTCACCCATCCAAGGTAGCTACATGAGAAGCTGGAACCACCCTGCCCAACTTAAGCAAACCCCATTGCGCATCGCGAAGGGGGAACCGAAACCTTGAACCCTAAGTCATGAAATAGGAACTTGTCTAAGTCATGAAATGGGAGTTTCCGAAAATAGGGGACCCTAACACAGTACCCTAAATGGTAGGACCCTTATAATAATAGGACCCCAAAATAAGGTACCCCTAATTTTTCGGAAACTCCCAAATCGGAACTTGTATGCATGCGTCCCAGGAGCGAACTCATCGAAGAGGGGAGCCTGCCGAGTCTTCAGGAACAGTGAAGTAGAACTGTTGCTGCCATGAAGCAGTTTACATGTGTTGTTGGTATTACTCCTGAGTCACGGTCTGGGGCCCACACGTTTATTACATCTCTCTCTACGTTTTGTTAGTCGGAGTTTCAAGTGGAATCACAGCTCGATCTGCCGCCGGCCACGACCGCTACAATCATCATCTCCATCAAGTGCTAGCGTTGCAGGAAGCTCCCGCCACCCTGAAACCTTTAACACCTCAACCCTGACAGCCCACAAACTTTAAAACACTACAACCCTGACGAGACCCTCATGCTTCTTTCGTGATCAAACACTGAAATGCCCCCAACCCTCTGCCGAAACGAGCCCATTATATGAGTAAGTAAATACACAAATAAGCAGAAACATGTGTATATATGTATATGTATATATATATACATACAAATAAATGTGTATATATACATATACACATATGTGTATATATATATATACATATATACATATGTAGATAGGTAGATATATAGTTTCAATGTAGATCAGCCAAAGCGCCTGGTAGGCCTCCTCTGAGGCGCCTTTCACCGTGGCCATGGCCAGCGAGCAGACCGGATCCTCACGAAGCATCGCGGGTTCTGGCTTTTTTTGACACTCACTCTCGGACAAGCCTGGCAAGGTCTAGGGTTCTGGCTTTAGGGTTTATAGGGGTTTAGGGGAGTAGCATAGAAGCCTTAATAATTGCCTATATCTTTTTTTGGGGGGTTCCTTGTGATATTTGTAGTATAACATACCCCCAAACCCTATGAACAAATATTCACGAAGTGCCGCTGGCTGTGGAGTAGTTTCGACGCTCACACTCGCACGCAGCAGGCAAGGCTCCACATAATCCACAGTATCTCCACTCAGAGGGGCATGCACTGCAAGGACTCGGATTCGGCCAAACGAACCAAAGACACAAAACCCAATGATACGAATCAACCCAACAACGCCCGAGCCAAGCAGGCAAGCATTGATCGATGAGCCACATGTGGACCCATCACTGTTTCAAAATGCCAGCGCTACACCACTTATATTCTAACACCTTCTCAAGCATCTCGGACATGCAGCATGCATAGTCGACCGATAGGCCTCAGCTCATATTCCTCACAACTCAGACGTGCCATGCACTTGCAGACTCCAGTTTAGGGGCCTTAATAATTAGAATACGATTTGTTTTAAAGGGTTCCTGAAAGGGGTCTATAAGCGATCTATTAGTAGGGTTCTATTGTACAGGGGCCTTTATAATTAACAATTAGAATATGGCTTTGGGCCCATTGTTACCTATGGTTTTTGGGGGGTTCCCCAATAATTTTGTACTATATTATGCCCCCCAAGCCTTATTCTAGTTATTAAGGCCCCTGTATTAGAGTTTGTTCTTAGTCCGCGGTTTGGGGCTTGAAAAGCTTAGGGATGTCGATGTTTGTTTCAGCAGGCTTTCTGGTGCTCATGAAGCCAAGCATAGCGAGCTGGAATCTGTATACATCGTTCCCTGACAATATTAAAGAATATCAATCCTTGGAGGCGACTTTCCCGAAGTGCTCTGTGATGGTGATGCCTGCAGGATCCACAGATGAGGGACGTGAGTGTGCCTTAGCAACGTGTACACTCAGAACCACGGCAAAAAGAGCCCCTACATGCAGATTGTCCATCCCGAAAGGACGACATCCAGCCTGGCGCATCCACTACGTCCACCTTGTGCACGACAATCGGGGCCAGCGTGCTGTCTGCTGCTGCCTGTCATTCCGACATCTAGCGTTTCGGTAGCAAGCTCTCCTTGCCCGAATTATCCGCAAGATTGATGCGCCTTGCTGCACTGACCCATAGCCTTCAGTATCATGACTTGGGCTTTCACAGGTCACGCACCTTTGCGGCATCTGATGGCGCTTCCTCGCTGTTCGACATCTCGGGCGAGAATGCCTCAGATCAAACAGGCACAGGCACACCAAGTTCATCCGCACATCTCGTGATCCAGGACGGAACGCCCCATCGCGTCTTCTGCGACTTTAAACGATTTGGGGAAGGTCAGCTCGTGCCATCTCAGAAGGACAGTTCACTCCTAGCCGGCATGCTCTTGTTTTGATTCTCTTCGCTGCGGGCTGACATTTGCACGCCCGGAGGCCGAACGGGCTGCCACCAAAACAGGCTGACCAGCTTGCGGTCGGGTTGGAATGGGGTCACAAAGTGTGGGTGGTACCGGAAAACTGGAGGAAAAGAGTCAGTTGGCGACATGACCCACCGAATGAACCTCCCTCCTTCCCCTTCCCAGACCGAGTGGCTGGTAGGCAAACCACTGTGTAGCGGGCAGGTCCTCAAGCTGCCATCTTGCAGGTGTTCTCTGTGTGATAAAGCGAAGACTATCTGCTCGCAACAGGTCCTTTTGTTCTGGCTACTCCCAAGATTCAGTTTTTCAACTTCCTGTTTGCAGCGTTAGCTGCGCCTCGTTTGAAAAAAGGCAGAAGCACCTGAAACCATGTCAACCTCAGCAGCTGCCTGCAATGCTTTCAGCCGAACGCGACCAGCAGAAAATTCAAGCTTCTGGGCATGGCAGCTTGATGCAGCTTGGCTGATCGCCTAAAACCAGGTAACGGCGCCTGTAGTGCCCCCCCCCCCACCCCCCCTCCCCCCAAACCTCCGAAAACCTTGAAAACCTCCGAAAGTGCCCTGAACGCAGGGCGCGTTAGGGACGCTGTCACCCAAAACCACCTTACCTCGCCAGACTTTCTTAGCGAGTTGTGAGCCTGGCCAGGTCCACTTGACGCGCAGGCCGCGCGGCAGGAATGCGCCCTGACCCTGCTCCAGGCGGCAGCGCTGGTCTCAGCATCGCAGCAGAAGTAACACATAGGGTAACCTATATACAAGTATGTATATATATATATATATGTGTGTGTGTGTTTCGTATGTATAAGGCAGAACTGAAAAGTGACTTCAGCGCAAGGTAGTTCTACATCATGATCCCTTCTAGGGAGATTGGCGCAAGGGAATGGTCATATGTGCTTCAAGGTGACGCAGAAAAATTACACCTTGCAGAAGTGACTCTCAGAAATGAAGGCTTGCTTAGTGATTTCTTGACAGCCACCTGAAAGCCCACGGGGTGGACGTTCCAAAGTCAGAACAGGCAACTTTGTGTAGTGGGCCCGACCTTCGCCATAGACGAGCTCGATGCAACCTTCGGTGCAGATCACGTGCTCCTGCATGGGTCTCACATACAGAGAGGACCCGACCGAAGTGCAAAGGAACGTCTTGGATTCCGCGAGCCCCAAGTTTTCATCTTCAACCAGCATCCTCTACGAGAAATTGCTCACAAGGTGCACTCACAGTGTACTAAGGCTGCACAGAGCTGACCGCATGCGGCGGCCAGCAAATACAGCACACGGCGCTTGGCAGTTCAGCCCGAAGGGAAATGCCTGGAAGGAAGGCGTCTGAAACCTTGCTTCTGTTGCAGCCCGTACCTGTCCAGCGCCAAGCTTGCAGAAATGATGGACAACGGACTCAGTCAGTAAATACTGCCCAGCATGTTGAAGCCCGGCCTCCACCTTCGCTACAGATGCAGCATCCTCCAGCAATCAAGCATCTTCCAACGTATCAAGGACTGAGGCAAGCCAGGAAGCATCGCGCTGTTGAGCCACATACAATGTCGGTGTTGGCACAAGTACAGCAAAGTCAGGGCATACGTAGACATAACTCTCACACACAGACACACACACACACAAATTTACGCATGTAAATATATGTACATATATATATATATACATGCATACATACGCACATGCATAGACACATGCACACAAGTACACACAAGTACACACATACATACATACATACACACGTACATACGTACGTACATACACACATACATACAGTACGTACATACATAAATACATCCATCCATACATGTACATGCGTGCGCCTGCAAAAATATACAAACATACGCACATACATTTGCACGTGGCATACCATTCCACACCACACCCTACAATGCCACATGACACTGGGATACCATGCCATAGCATACCATAGCACATCAAACCATTCAATACCAATAGCAATACCAATGCTAATGCCAATAGTGCCGACAGGCAGAAGTACAAACATACAGAAGTACGTACATATACATATATGATACGTACATACATACGTAAATGCATGCATGCATACACAAATGCATATAACAAAGACAATACACTACACCGCAATACAATCACAAATATACACACGTGCATTCAAAAGCACAAACGGGCGTAACTACATGCATGCATTCATGCATGTATGCACGTGCGTACGTACATGATGTGATAACAAGCCTTGCAGCATATATGAACAGTACATGTGCATGTATATGAATGTTCTCATGCGCGTGTTGAGACAGAGATAATACAGATAGAGATAAGGGAGGGAGGGAGAGAGAGAGAGAGAGAGAGAGAGACAGAGAGAGAGAGAGAGAGAGAGACAGAGGGGAGAGACAAGGAGAGAGAGAGAGAGAGAGAGAGAGAGAGAGTGAGTGAGAGGGAGAGAGAGAGAGGGAGGCAGACGGTGAGAAAAACATCAGGTGTTGTCTAACCCACGAGCTTCTGAAAGCGACCAGCTGCTGAGTTGATAACCCTTAGTCCTGCTTGGAGGCTACGCGACCAAAGTACTCTGAGATCGTCAGCTCTGACCTGGTACTTGGAGGTTCATGGGTAGTTAAAAGTAGGGTTATAAGTCCCCTAATATGGGTTATAAGTATATAGTTACCCTACTTATAACCCTACTTGTAAATACCCATGAACCTCAAAGAAGTGCGTTGAGGGCGAAAGGGTTTAGGGGCACCGCAGATTTCTGGCGGCCCAAACATCGCCTATGCGGAAACCTGCGCGTAATTTTTTTTACGTATCTATATGTACACACACAGAGATGCGTGCACTGGTATTTCTGCATACGTTCAGGTAAAAGCGACAACAAATTCAACATGAACGTATAAGTTGCTCCATGTCTGTCTTGTCGCTGTTGCGGCATACACCAGAGACCATCAGGATGCTTTCATGTCTTGTGTTTTCAGACCCCAACCGATTTATGGAGTAAACACCGGCAGGCCGTGGCCTTAACGGCCCTAGCGAACACAAACAAGCGCATGCTGACGTAAGCCATTCACAGTCGCGTAAACGAAGAAAACGATTGAAGCAACCGTCTGGCACGTATGATTACATTCATATCTATTTCTGCGGTCTGTGTCTATGTCTGCCTCTATCTGTTTGTCTCACTATCTACAACATGTCTATCCATCTGTCTGTCTGTCTGTCTGTCTATCACGGTGCCTATCCCATCTAGCTCATCGATCTGACCAATATACCTGATCCATCGATCGACGAAAAACGATCGATCAAGCAGGCTATGTATCCATCCATCTGTCTTTCAGCCTATCTTTCTATGTGTCCTTGGCTGCATGCTGGCTGCATGTATTGAGCATCGGTTTCTACATGCGCATATATGTTGTTGTGGATGTCTATCCGTCTGCCTGCCTGTTAGCGCATATATATGTATATATGTATATATGTAGATATTTGTATATTTTATACGCATATACATTTGTATATGATATAGGTACGTACGTACGCACGTATGTATAGATATGGTCGCACTCGTGTAATCCAAGGAACGTCTCCACCACAACCACAGGCTTGACCACCAAAGGAGCCGCCATGGCGATCGGCGAAAAAAGCCCTCGACTGTTAGAACGACGAGTCGTGCGACTTACGCGGTTGACTTTCTTGAAGCTGAATGAATTAGAACATGGCATTGCTGTTTGCATGTCTTTATTTGTCGACATCAGAGCTACCCGTTGTGCTTTGAAGAATTCTTTGCTCCTTTCGCAGCTACATCCATATGCATAACTCGGCGAGGCTGCTTTTCAATCTGTTGGACACCTGTCACATCATAGATGGAAAGAACGAGGTGACCATGCTGGTGCTTCGCCGCAAAGTCTTTGCCTTGTGTTTCCAAGGCGCAATAACAGTTGCAAGAGGCTGCAAGCCGCAGGCTGCAACATTGGAACTCTCTCGCTAGAAGGCTCAATCGAAAGCTCGTTGCGAGCTGTCCGCAACCCCAAACCCCCATATCCCAGCACGAGTCTAACTTCAAATTGCCTTCCTTCTTCATCTAACCATTCAAACCGAAATTCCCAAGATTTGCCAGAGTACCCTCAGAACTTTTCAAGCCATGGCCAGGGGCTGAGTGGCCAGCAGACCATCAGTGCTGTACCGTGACGACGGGTGGCCTCCAGATTCAGGTTCCCCAGGGTTTCATATTTGAAATCTTTAGACCGGCTTGTAGATACTTGCTCTCTGCTTTCGTAGCTCAGATTGCCGTGTCGGGCTGTGAACATCTCGATTCGCAAGCCCCAGCCCCCAAGAAACAAATGAACGAAGCAACACACAAGAGCGCACACTAACAAGACTCAAGTCTGTAGCCTGTAGTGTATGGACAGAAGAACCAAAGCACCGACATGCACGCGAATGTCAGATGGACGACTTATTGGAATGCATACAAGCATACGTACATAGATACACACATGCATGCATCATACATGGGTCCATGTGTACAAGCACATGAGCTGGCGAGCATGCTTCAAACCTTGCGCAGAAGATACTTCCTTACCTAAGATCTATAATTATGTGTGTCTGTATTGCTTTGCACAGGTCGCAGGACCACACAAACTTCTTTCGTGCACAATATGTGTGTAGGCAGCAGGTAACTATTCATCGATGTGAAAACAGCAAATGCGATCAACTTGGTTCTATGTCAGAGCTACAGGCTTACAAAGCGGCGCCTCCCGTGCCTGATCGAACAGCTCCTTGCGGGTTGGGAAGCTGGAACAGTAACGGTACGTTGTGCAGTTTTAGAGGTGTTCGACTTCTACCGGGAGCACAATGCTAACTGCGAGTTGGAAAAACATGTCTCACCAGCCTCAAGTACAAACCCTCACTGTCTCTGTCGCTTGTCCACATCCTTCCGCGGGAAGCGGTCATGTGCCGTGATTCTGCCTGCAGGCACACATTGCAAAGCTCAAGCGGCACCGACCCTGGCTGATGGGGGGGATAGCTCCAAACATTGTAGCCAGTAAAATCGTATTAGAGAGGTGGCAAAGCCGTGCCCTGAAAGGCACATGGAGGAACAAAAACACGGAGAAATCGATGCTCCGACATAATAGGATGCGTCTAGGCCGCACCCCGATTGCAGGGATCTGCCATATATATATATATATATATTATACACCTACATTCACATTCACTTGTTTACCTATCTCTGCATGTGTATAGAAGGATAGAGACTCAGATATAGATATAGATGCGCAGATCCACAGATCTGATCACACATCTATTTATTTGTGTGTGTGTGCCCGCGTGTCTGTTCGCTTGTTCGGGTCTCTTCGTCATAGGGTATGATCAAAGTATCGCAATGAATCTCTTGCGGACGTCACTGCTGGGCCATATCGACTTTTTGACGTACGACGTACACGCGATTTATGTTGAGTAGCAATTTGCCGCCCATACTGAGCCCGCGGCCACTGGGCTCCATTTCCAGGGAAAACAGCCTCTGTGGAGCTGACTTGCTCTGAAGGCCGACATCATGCGAAGCACACTTCGGCGTGGTTTGGCTGGGTGTGGCAGGACTTATCAGGATCAGCAAGAACTCAAACACCTAGCCTACACAGGCGAATGTGTTCCCACGAAGTGGATGGTAAAAAAGAATTCTTGCCAAGCATGTATCAAAGCTCTGAGATGTCAAACCGGTCTGCAGACCTCGTCTGGTGCATCTTACACTTGTGGCTGGCAAGCCGCAGCAGGTGCGTCGTATGCTCGCTGATGGTCTCCCAATTGGCACCTCGCAGTCGCATGGCTACGGCTACAGCACTGGAACGGCTGCAAAATCGAAATGGGAATGAGACTTTCTGGGATGCTTTTGCTGGCACCCACCGAGAGCCTTCATAGCGCCACTCCGGGAGATACGCGACCTGGTCAGACTCTCTGTCGTCCCAAGAACATCATGCAATGCCCCTTAATGCATCGAACAACTGCTGGTGGCAGCAGCGACGGTATGTGTTTTGAATATGTATGGCCATTGCCGCCGTTGTTGCGGGCCCTTTGAAGTCACGTTCTGGCGTGCAAACAGTAATGCCGGTCGTAAACCCTGAACTCCAACAAGCCGCTGCTGCTCGACTAATGCCACAACCGAGGTTACGACGATCGAAACGGGATCGCTCGCCGGACTCGAAGCAGATCCTGCTTGCTCAGCTGCGGGGATTATGCGGCTGCTCGTCTACCGTCTTGTTATCCACGGAATGTAGGAGGTTTGTACAGCGGTGGCTACCACGAGGTGGACCGGATCTTGATGCAATTTAGTAGGAAGTACCCACGGGCCGCAGAGATTTAGCTTCTTTCGGGCTTCTATCCGTCAGGACGTCATGTGATATAAGAAGCTTCTCGTCTATACCTCTATGGCTTTTAGGGCTTCACCGTGACGGCTTTTGACACTCGCACTATACACTCGGACAGTTATGCGGGCGAGGGAACTTCCGCTGGACACGACAGGGCCTGGCACTGTGAAAGGCACTCCAAGACGTGAGCATCACGCAGCATCAAAGCCTCTATGGGTCGTGCCTCTTGTGGGCACCAAAATGCGCAAAACCGAGCCAGGTGACAAGGCACCTTACCTCAAGGAAAACATGGGAGATGGTCTCCGGAGTCAAAAATGGATCACATGCACAACACGCTTCAGTTCGCATCGATCTTGTTCCACACGCCGGACGGAAGGGCGATGAACTGCTTTGCAAAGTCTTCCATCTTCCAGAGTCTGGTCCGGAGATCGCTGATCTTCTGACTTGCATCGTTGATGTTGCGGACCAAGGACTCATAGTCGGCCTGGAGTTGCTTTGCGTACTTGTTCTCGTGCTCTTCAACATCAGGCTTGATATGGAACACCAAGTTGATTCTCTTGTCCTGACAGACATCAGGCGGAAGCTCTGACCAACTTAACTAAACTAAACCCTGCCCTACTCATATATATATATATATATATATTCGAACACCAAAACCCTAAACCCACATTGCTGTCCTGAAGGAGAATGCTGTTGTTTGGTGCTGCGGCTGGAAGCGGGAATGAACCATTTGCTCTCCAGCGCTCTGGGTGTTCACCATGCGGGCCATAGGGCGAGGAGGTGACAACATTTCCGACACCCCACCGCTTCCTGTCCACAATGCATGAAGTTGAGCCATGGAGCCACCGGCTGCAGCCAAAGCGTCCCCGACTGGTCCTTACTTGCGCAGTTTACAATGACTCAAACGAAAAGTTGTCGGCGAGATGATACAGCACAGACATAACCAAAAGAGACGCTCGCACATGACATGAATTATGTCGGGACTCGGCAATGATGGGCAAGGCCAGCTGCTGCTGCAGCTGCTGGTGCTGCTGCATTTGCAGCAGCTGCTGCGCGGTCAACGGTGTCCCCGCAGGGGCAACAATCATTGGGGGCAAAGCGGCCATGACTGCTAATAACAAACTGAAACCGAAGACGGCGGCTGGGGTTCAACTTCACATGTATCCTCGCCCAAACTTGCGAAATGCTCCAGGGGGCCAAAAGAAATGCCGAGCACCGCACTCCTCGACGCCCTCGACTAACCGAGTTGGCAGAACCTGAGGAAACAACCAAAGAAAATCCGACTAGCGAACGGGAAGCAGGACTCCGGCGACCTTAACCCGGACGAGATTCCACACTACCTCCATCTCCTTGTTCAGGTAGAGCAAGATCTTATTGATGTACCGCGCTCTGGGCGGTAGCTCCTGCTTCCTGGGCCTCAGCGCACGGGGCTCCTCCGAAAGCCAACGGCCTGTCCGGTTCCAAACGACTTCATGGCCCGTGGCATTGGCAACCAGCTGCATCGTGTAGTTGACGTATCCATCGAGTATGGTCAACACCTGGTACTCCTGCACGATGGGAGTCTGAAGAGGCTGCAGGAGCTTTTTGAAATGGTTCTTGGTCCGGGTGCTTATGTCCCTCAGCCACTTCTCACTGCGCCCATCTTCTTCGACAGTGTCACCAACAGGATCAAGATCCTCTGCGGGCCCCCTTAGCTGCTGCCGCATGCCGGCAAAAGGGTCGGGCTCGAAGAGGACGGGTTCGGCAGCAACCAGGACGACGGTACAGAGTGAGAGAAGGAGTTTGAGAACCATGGTGGACTTTTTCGACTTGATCCTCGCCTCTGAAGCTTCGAGCAAAACTTGAGCAGTCGTGTGATCGGTCTCGGGACTTTCGTGGATGGCGGTTTTGGTTCAGGGAGTTGAGAGATCGACGTATCCAGGGGTTTGCGGATTTTTAAAGCTGCTGCAAGCTTTATTCAGGCACAGGAGCGCAGGAAACAACAACCAAGATCAGACGACCAGAGCATGGCTGCTAGTCAGCGCTAAGCTATATTCAGAAGGCATCCTGGCGTAGCTGCAGCTTCAAGCAAGGCTGGCATGCTGGGGCAGGGCAAGAACCAGTACTATTTTCGCTAGCGGCTATCAACTCTGAACATTGTCCTGGCCACGACTGCCAGCTCAAAAGCTCGCATTACACCTGCGTGTATTTTCAGCCCCACTCACACCCAGACAGACTCGGATGACACAACAGCCCCCACATGTTTTGATATTCATCATACAAGCAGATAATGTAGCCTATGAGCACTTATGTAGCCCGGAGTCCTGCCAGGCTGGGCTCAGCCACGGCTTCCAGCAGCCAGAAAGCTGCAAGCAGTATCGAAAGTGTCACCTCATGTCAAGTCCAAGCGCTAAGCTTTCCGAGATTTCCGAGGCTGCGGCTTCCCCCATCAAAACAATTGATATTTTCAGGCTCATAGTCATGGCACCTTGAAAACTTCAAGGCTTCAGTCGGCGCCTTCTGATCTGATTCACATGAGGTCATTGCATCTGTTCCAGAAGCTCTGCAAATATAGTGTTGAGGAGGCGGCACGCTTTGGACAGTGACAGCTGCTGCGCTCCCCGATCCGAGGCTGCATTGTGCTAGGTACTTGCGACTGTAGAGCAAACTAACGGCTTAACATGCCTTTTCTGCTGTTGTTCCGGGATGTCCATGTCCCGGAACCTAGGCCACCCTGTGCACAACACAAGAAGTGTTTCAGCATGCGCCGGAAACTGTCTTCTGCTGCAGTGTCCAACATGTAACAGGCAACCATGCAGTGGGCTTGAGCGCGACATCCATGCACACAAATCTCATTCACAGCGAGCTCCAGGATATCACACGCAGCACGAAGTGGCTGTACATAAGGCAGGAGCAAACCAACTGACAGAGAGCCAGCCAGCCAGTCAGCCAGACAAACCACCACACGAACAAGCAAACAAACACGCAAGGCACACGCGCAGGCACACGCACGCCCACCCACAGACACAACCACTCGCACATTCACTTGTGTGGACACATAGATGCTTCCATACATGCATGGGTAGACAGCACATACAGCGATATACATGCACATACATACATACATACATACATACATACATACTTACGTTACATTACATTACATTACGTTACATTACATTACATACACACACACACACATATATACATAGAGATACGCACACTCACACATACATACACTTAGTTACACATAGATACACATACCTACACACACACAGATACACATACATACTTGTAGATACAGACAGAATCAGACAGAATCAGACAGACAGACAGACACCTACCTACCTACCTACCTACCTACCTACTGCACCTACCTCGTTCCTACACGCACAAAGACAAACAAACAGTCACGAACAGGCGTAGGAGCACAGGACTCAATGCGCATATTGACAATACGCCTCTCGACATTGAACGGTTGATGCGAGCTGCCATATGATGCCATATATACGGTATTATGTGTAAATACATACACATATATATATATATATATACACACCTATTACACTGCCTCGAGGCAATGCTCAACCATCACGTCTTGTAGAAGCACATTTCTTGCCCGCTGCCCGCTGCTTTTTGAGGCTGATTCGACTGCTGCATCGCCTCTACAGCTGGGGATCGTACATGCTTTGGTTATGGGATTCTCTGCGACATCATAGAGCTTCAAAGCACCAAAAAAATCTCGGTGCCATCCGATTGGCGTGAGATCCTGAGCACGGGTTTGTAATTTTCTATGGGTGCAACACAATCTCTGAAGACCAGGGCCAAGGAGGCGAGCAGCAGCCTTTCGAGCAAGCTAAGAAAGCGAAGCGAAGCTTTTTGCCGCCATCTCCACTTACCTGGCTAGGACCAGGGCCCAGTTACAGTTAGCTACACACTTACGCAGTATGGGTTCCGTATGCCCTATATATGAATCAGGTTAAATTCAAGCAATGCCAGCGCATTGTCCTAGCCAGGTTCATGTCTGCACTCAATGCTACTGCCCGGGTTTAGTTCTGCCACGGCAGGCGACCGTGCAGTAGGGTTCCAGGCGCCCACTGGCTCAATGAGCATTTCCCCGTCGGCACGCAATCTGAGAACATTCCAGGGCACCAAGCATTCGGAAATGACGGGATAACGTCATTCATCAAGCCCAACCAGAAGTTCAGAAGTTAGATTGAAGATGCTCGGACGAGGGTGAGCCGTTCGGTTTAGTTCCGACTTGACGAGGCAGCGGAGATGCCCTTGGCGGCGGGCGGCCAGCTACGAAGCATTAAGCTCGTAGAAGCTTGAGAAGCATGCGCATGCCGTGCAACGAGGCCAGAAAGGGCCGTCAGAACCGCAGACTCCGAAATCCACCCAGCTCGCCATGAAAATCCCTATTTCCAAGCCCGTATCAAATGCTCGATTCCTGACAACCTCAAGCTTGGCAGTCCTATGCTTCATGGATGTAAAAACTACTCATGCGCCAGTAGTCGTAAGGAAATGCCGTGTATGTGTACATACGTAAGTACGTAGGTGTGTAGATGATGTCGGTGGAATGCCATGCATTGTGGCTACGGCCACCATGGCAGGCCTCTGCCCGCCACACTCCAGACCCTTTGGATGCTGCGCCGCCAAAGTCCAAACAGAGGTATGTATGTATACAAGTATACATGTATATGTAGTAAAGTGTGTAACACTTGTGTAACTGTGTTAAGTGTGTAAGCGTTCAAGTAGTTTATTAACTTTATAATCTAGTTATTTGTACATGTATCGGCCCGCCAAGCACACCTTCGATGGCTCTTCGCTCCCTCGCACATGGAGTCAGCTGTAAGCTGCTACTCAGCCCGCCGTTTCTTCCTCGGCTCGAAAGTTCTTGCGGCAATGAGGGCTTCGTGGAATGGATGGGTTTGCAGTTCAGAGATTACATGCGGGGCGTATAGGAGGCGCCTAGGCCCTCGCTGCCTGGGTATCTTGCGCTTGACGACAGCCAAGGAAACTGGTGTGTGGGAGCACTCTTGCTGGCTTGATATTCTGCTCTCAATGGCTAGCGGCTAGCGACTTGTTAGGGCTTCTGTCCTAGTCTTACGTCAACCTGGAGCCAAGGTGGCAGAACAACCAAGTGGCTTGTTGGTGCTACCACTTGTGCCACCAGCGCTCGTGTTGCCTGTACAGATGGCACAAAGTGAAAAGAGATTGAAGGAGAAGGCTGCATGCATATATAATCACGTATACCCATCGGCTATCCTGCGCTTCATCCGCCTATCTGCCCAATATGCACGCACGCACAGACACACACACATACACACAGCCTCACTTCTTACTTCTTGGTGGGAAGGCATCCGGGGAGAGAGAGAGAGAGAGACAGAGACAGAGACAGAGACATGAATTTAAAAGTGCTCTGCCGGTTTTGGCAACTAAATTCCCTGCTGCTGCGCTGCCACCTGACCCGAAGCCAAACAGGTTCTCACCGCTGCCGCCGCCTTGGCTGCAAGACAAGGACGAACAAATGAACGACGTTGTAGCTATCGTCCGTTTTAGCCGGTGCAAAAAGCCAACTTCCAAACGTGAAGCTCGTGAAGATAAGTGGGAAATCAAAGCAGGACTATTGCTTTGGCTCGTGTCGACCTTTATTGCCCTATTCGGACATTTCTTGCTAAGCCCTGTCCGAGAAGATGGATCCTTTTGCAACAGGCTTCGACTTCGCCCGGAGTAAACCCTAAACCCTACAACCTACACCCTTTTGCAACTGGTTTGTGCAAAGTCACGCTCTAAACCCTTCAGGTCATGGAAATCTCTGGGCACCCAGCTGGAGTTGCTCCCGAAGATATTGCCACTTGTGGTGGCCCCTCCTCCGCAGAAGATGCCTCCTCCGAGTGTTTCGGCACTGCTTCGAGGATTCGCATGCTGCAAGTCCACAGTGTACCAGATTCATCCATGCCGCGAACGCGAAGCAGCAATTGCCAGAGGAATGATGACAATATCTGCAGCGAGTCTTTCAGAAAGCAGACGGGCAAAGGCATGTGATCTACCGCTACCTCGCATCCTTGCTCCTGCAGCTGAGCTTTCTTTTGGACAACTCCTAGAAAACATGCTTGGCATGATCTAAGCTCCTGCAGAGCTGGGTGCATCAGCTGTGCCTTGTAATTGCGGAGCTCGGCTGTTCAGCTGATAGGGCTTTCAGGGGGTTCGAGGCTTTGCAGTTTGACCACCACAAGAAGAAAACTTGGCCGTATGAAGTGTAGTGTTTCGACATCTGCGCCATCGATGCTGCCTATCCATCTTCGCAGGCTAAGCACTGGCTTGGCACAGGCTTCGCAACAAGCCTTGGCTAAGTTCAGGTCTGAGACGTCTGGAAGCCCAATGCCGGCAAGGAGCTCGCTGCAAAGGGATTGCTACCCCCAGCAGCAAACAGGTTGCCTTCACAGCGAAGCCGACATCGCAAGAACGAGTGTAGCTCAATGCAGGCTCTCAGCTTCCCACAAAGACTGGTGTACATAAACGTCCCAGAAAGCCTGACCAACCTTTCAAAAGCCATGGCCTGATGCGAAGATTGGAGAAGCGGCCGGCTTCCCTGCTTGCGGGGATTGGACTTGGAGGTGGCCTACACGCAGCAAGACCGTTCGAAAGCGAAGATGTCGCATTCTGCTATATCTGCTATTGAAGCTGCTATGAAAAAAAACATGTGGTGGGAAGTCCAAAGCGTGACAAAGCTGAATATTCGCGGTGGCTGCTCGCCGTCGCGTGAAGATGGAGATCATGGTTTCTACATCGTCATTGATGTGATGGCCGCCATCTGTTAACATCACCCGACTAACATCCTCTCCACAAGAGAGCTTCGGTTTCGAGACCTGCGGCCGGTCCACGTGAAGCGCAGAACGAAGACTCAGCATCTCGGTGCAAGACAGCTTCTACGTAGGCATGGCCTAGCCGAGCCCTAACCTCACTCGACCGACTACCGCACAGATTTGGCCTACTAGAGCAGAAGGGCCGTCAAGGAAAACTAATCATTACCAGAACGACTCGATGACCGGAGCTTCCCCTCCACAGCTTCGAAAAGAGGCCTGGCTCCCCGAAGATGGAGGTGCCAGAGCCGCTGCTTGAACCTCCGAAGCCAGTGCCTCCGAAGAGGGAGGTCCCAGAGTCAGTGCCCGTCGTCGAGGCCCCGAACACGAATGCAGAGGTCGCCGGAGAGCCGCTGGAGTCAGGGCCAGAACCGCTTCCGGCACCAAAAATACTGTTGCCAGTGCTCCCGGCCCCGAAGATGGAGGTGCCGGTGCCAGTCGAGGATCCTCCGAACAAGGAGTTCGCACCCGTGGAGCCAAAGATGTTGGTGGAGGCCGTGCTACCGCCGGAAGCAGGGGTACCAAAAAGACCGGAGCCAGAAGTTGCCGGCTTGTCAAACAGGGAGGATCCAGAAGACCCAAAGATCGACTTGCCTTCCTCAGGCTTCTCTGTCTTCTCGCCAAAGAGCGACCCAACCGATCCGCTGCCAGACCACGCAGCTCCGAAAATTGAGCCGCCGGAGGAGGCACCGAAGAGCGGCGCGGGCGCGCTGCCCCCTCCCTCTGAGCCTCCTGAGGCGGGCGTGCCCCAGAGAGAGCTCCCTGAACTCGGTGTGCCAAAGATAGAAGCGCCCCCTGAGCCTCCGGAAGCCGCGGTCCAGAGGGCACCCCCTGAATTCGGGGCCGGCATCAGAGAGGTGTTGTTGTCCGACCCGAAGATGGATTCCGTCGTTCCGCCGAACAGGTTGGGAACGCCTGGTCGAGACTGGATGGGGTATGGCATGGCCGTTTTCGATACAAATCCGTAAAGGCGCCTCCCCAAAAAAACATTTCTGCGAAGTGATAATAAACAACCAACACCCATTTGGTCTTCGAGGTCTGAATGGTAAAGCTGTCCCCCAACTCTCATCGACACCGGGCACTCTAAGCACAGCCTGTCCCACTTGGAGCAGCCGCTGCTTCGCCGAAAAGTGAACCAGATGAGGCTGCCGAGCCTGAAACAAAGCTGATACTGTAGAGGCCTCAACAATTAGAATAGGGTTTTGGGCCCCATTATACTATAAGTAAAATAAGAAACCCCACCAAATAGTACAGGTAATTATTTAGGACCCTATATTACTGCAGTGGTGTCACATAACAAGCAGACCTTTAACCCGTGAACTCGAAACCCATCCAGAATCCATACTGTGCCCACAACGGCGCTTATGCGGATGCCGCGCGGGATTGCTTGGAGGCTTTGTGCCATGTCAAGTCTTGCACGTTGACATCGGCTTCTCTAGACAGAAAATACAGCCTGCAAAAGCAACATGAAATACATTTGCCAGTAAGCAATCTTACCTGCAGTCCTTATCCAACCTGGGATCCTACCGACTACTCCTTCAAGAAAGCCCTGCAACGCAATGGGAATAATAGCTGGAAACAACGAGCTCGGATGCTCGGAACCAAAACCTCCTCGCCTGTTGCTTCAGCCTCATCGGGATCGTCCTCATCACGTGATATTCGGGAGTTGGGGCTGATGAGGCACTTAGACTTCATACTTGTGAGCAGCCTTTACGGTGGGAGAAACTGCTTCCGGCAGGGCGAAAGACAGCTGCTGTGGGCAGAATCACCACTCTGTGACTGTGTTCGGCCTTATGCTGAAACTGTTCTTGACTGCTTGTTCTCGATTCCTATCCTGCCCAGTGTTGCTCTACATCGTTTTGTCCCGTCTTGCATTGATTGCGCTTCATCTGTCTTGACCAGTTCGTGCGCAACAGACTTAACTCGCTCGGCCGGGCTACTTGGATTGCAACTCTGTAGCTCAGCCTGCGCGGGAGAGCACAAAGAAGTCTTCACTTTGAGAAAGATGGTGCGTGAAATACCCACAGCCGAATCTGAAAAAACTTACGGAGCTCTAATCAGTCGTTACTTGTGTAGAGCTGAACAGTACAAAAGCTCATGTGAGAATCCCGCTCAGGCTTAGGGTTTTGAACCCGAACTTCCACCGCTGGGCACGCTCTGTCCTTGAACTCCCTGTCTTCGCCTGACCGAGACACTGAGACCATTTACGAAGGGCTCGGCGGGTGCAAACGTGTGACCCGGAAGCCCTGTGCGCCACTGAATCTTAAACCCGGCAGAGCAGGAGAAAGGGGACAGGGCCGGTAGACTATGTTATACTGCGTTACGGCATAATGCAATCCTAGTGTACTGCAGTAAAGCTTTAGTATATGCCAGTATAGTAATACAATAAACGGGCCATCGATTCAGGCCTGACCAAGCGTCCTCGTTAGTGTAGATCTTCGAAGGGTCCAGATCGTAGCGCTGGCACACCTGTGTAGGGTTTAGGGCAAGGCTTCTGTTGTAGGTTCTCTCTCCCTCTCTCTCTCTCTCTCTCTGCCGTGCCATCATCAAGAGTCTCGCAATGCAAGGGCACGAAATTGCAGGCCAGAATATGTATTTACATATATAAGCATATATATATATATATATATATATATCATATCATATTATGTACCTAATACTGCTCCGAAAAAACCTTGCCGGCTGATACTGTTTTGAGCGTTCAGGGTTGCAGGTGCGAAACCGTATAGGAGCTTCAAGTGGCCTGGCCCACAGTACTTTTGCGGCTTCGGATATGAGGGTTTCTCAACATTAAAAGTCGCTTACTCAGGGATTCTAAAAAATAAATATACTGCAGTTTCAGGTCTTCCTTTGGGCCACATGTTCCCATGGCCCAAATTGCACTATGGCGGCAGCCAGCTAGTTGTTACCCTGCAGCTATATGCAGTTTGCATCAAGCTTTCTCGCACAGTCGACTCGAACAAAATGTCCCGAAAATCCGAATTCCATTGGGGATGGCATCGGAGGACCCAGTAGATACAAACCAGAGCATGCTTGATTCTCTGCACCCGGCCAGGTGCACATGCGCACCTCAATCGAAATACAGCGGTTCAATACAACCGTGGACAAAGGCTCCCAGAGACAAACCAGCCAACCAAGTAGCCAATGTAGCCATGCCGGGCCTTCTTGAAAAGGATGACTTCCTTTCCCTTGTGCTTCTCCATGAGCTTCGGCACGTCGTTCCTCCAGCCGCCCCAGTCATTTCTCACGGCTGAGTCCGGAGTTCTGGAGCCCCAGCTCTACGACTTGCAAGTGTCTTGTGCATCAGTTCCCATCCAGACCCTGAACCCCTGCGACATGGACGCTGTCTTCAATCGAGGCTAGGATGTCCTACCACGAGACCCCTCATTTGTTGTTGTTTTTTGCGGTCGTGGTGGTGGTGGTGGTGGTGGTGGTGGTGGTGGCGGCGGTGGTGTGGTCGCTGTTGATGTTGATGCTGATGCCGCTGTTGCTCTTGTGCTGTAGCAATGACACTACAATAACTCGCGCAAGTCGTCTGAGCGCTTGCAGCAGAGGAATGCTTCTGGCAAACATCTCTGAGCCGAGGCGCAGCTTCATCGGGTTCCTCAGCACCCGTGGGCAGAGTTTCCGCTGGACCACAAATGGCAGTATTCGGTTGTATAGGTTCCAGTGGGACCGACAATTTCTGGAGCAAGCTTGACTTGGCACCTTGGTTGGCAAGCTCACTTTGCTCTGCTACTATCATGAGATCATAGGCTCTGACTCGCGACCGGCTAAAGGCGGTCCATCCGATCCTAACCTACTCGGGCACCGCGGTGGCTCATGACACCAACCAGGAGGCTACCGGTACTTGCAAAGGTCCCATTGTTCCAGTGTGACTCTATGATCTGCGAAGTGCTGGAGCTAAGCTTCTTCATGCGCCATGTGAAGCTAAGACATAGCAGAAGAAACCTCAGAAACCTTTCGCCTCGTACTGGGGCTGCTAAGCAGCCATTTCATCTATTCGTTTACTTGATGGGAAAAAGCTGCCCGCCTCTTTCGGTAGATTGCCTCGATCTGGACGCGCCAGAAGTCTTCCTTGCGTCACCGTCTGTCTTGCTTTCTGCTTCACCCAATCTTGCATGCGGGCGGGGATGGAGGGACTGCTCCCGATGAGCTCAGATCCTTCGCAACCAAGCACTGTCAACCCTGCCTGAACTCAGCAAGCCCGAAGCAAGGGTCCTTTGTCTCCACCTTGACGGGGCCTTCCGGTGCAGCCTCCTCCGTGCCTCCCGCAGATCAGGTTTGAGCTTCTGGACTTGATGTGTCTTGGATTCGCAAGTTGCATGCGTGAGGAGCCGGTCCTCATCTGCTTCCTGAATCTCTGAGCAAGAGACTCGCACGCATCACGAGTGGAGCAGCGCATAAGACTGGAGGCTGCTGGTGCTCAAAACCCTCATTTCTCCGCAGTGTGAGAACGACAGCTAATCACCACATTCACCGTTGGTGTTGTATGTGGCTTCTAGATGATTCTGCATTCTGGCGAAGCTTGAAACTTCCCAACGCCTGCCTGCAGCAGCAGGGGCAACGCTGCTTTCTGCTGGAGCCGGGGCGGCTTTTGTCTCCTGCCAGGGTGTAAATCTTTAACACAAATCTGCGACCATCGCTCCGAACTTTGTCAAACCTAGGATGTTTAGTGTCAGAGGTCGCGCTTTGGCAGGCCGATTCCATCCCGAGACCAGGCATATCGACCGCAGTGCAACGCAGGGTGAAAACACCAAAACCGAAACAAGCAAGCCGAACGCCAAGTCAAGCAGCGCAAGATTCGCGAGGCAAGCGCTTGGGACTCAGAGTTGGGGTTCCAGGCTTCAGAGAAAATAGTTTGGCAGTTTGATGCTTTGTTGTGCTCGCGAAACACCACAGAAATTGGGACCTAGGTGTAGAGACATTGATACATCTGCAAGGCAAGTTCCTCGCTCGACTTTCAGCTACTTTGTAAGCCATCTGCAAGTACTTGTAGGTAGGTCCTTCGGCTCTGGCGCAGTCAGCCCAGCAAAGGGATTCGAGCTCCTCAGTGTTTCTGACTCTCTTCCATAGACAACGCGTGACCACAGAACATGAAAGAGAAGTCAGATGCAGCCTCAAGTCTGGCACCCAGCAGCCTATGAACCGCAGTGCGTGATCTCGAAAGGCCGAGCGACGCTGGCTCGTCCGCCTGCTTCGGGGGACCTGGGGTCCAAACTCAGTCTGTCTCCATCTTCTGAAGACCGTACCGCTCAAGCAGACAATGCTTTTCAAACGTAGTAGCTAGTAATTATGTCTTTGTTGCACGGTTCAGTTTTGACTGTGTTTTAGTATGCCATGTGCGTCCATGCTGGTAGTCTTGTTTACATAGCCAGAAACCGTTCGCGAGCTTGCTGACACAATGTTGTGCATTACTGATGGAATCAGCGACTCAACATGGCGCCTTCACAACATACATAAATGCATGCATACATACATGCCTACGTCCGTACGCACGTACGTAGGTACATAAAACATCCATGCATGTACATACATACATACATACATATATATGTATATATACACATACATACGTACATAAGTATAAGCATATACACATACGCATGTACATACATACAGACGTACATACGCACATGAATAAAACAAGCAACCGAACAAACATACATACATACATACATGCATACATACACAAACACAATTCCTGTACGCATGCATACATGCGAATGGACGCGAATACACGTATACACAAATGTATATGTATGCACGAACAGCATGCATGCATGTGTGTATGTCTATGTTCGCAAATGTCTTGCTGCATTTGCCCATGCCGGGCCTGTCGGCGTCGGCGCGTCAGTCGTGGCCACCACTGCCTGGACTGGAGGTGGCCCAGGCAAACCTGCACCACGAATGAGAGATGCCCTGCACTGCTACTGCCCTTGGATTGTTGAGCCTGGCAGTGTCAGAT